ATCAAAATATTTCTCACTTTCGAGATATGATGTGTCAAAGATTTAGCATTCTGGCCCCTTGTGGCCCCTAATTATGTACCATATACGACATAAAAATCATAATATATAGTTGTAAATGGTTGAGATAAACATTTTTGCTTCAGTAATGTATTACAAAATATTTAAAGATAAAGAGTTATCGATTGAAGACTTTTGGCCCCTCTTGGCCCCTAATTTGAGTGCCCAGCCCCTTTTTCTTGATTTTGACTTAAAGCTCTTATGATTTTGAACACTTTTTGTTCAATAACTATTCAGAGATTCTTTTTCGTTTTCGAGTTATTCGCAAAAGAAATATTTAGGGGCCAACCCTTCAACTCCTTAATGGGGACGTTTAGCAAAAATGAAAGGTTGCATATTGTTCAGAATATGATTTTGAAGATCTTTTGTTCAATATTACTTATCAAAATATTTCTCACTTTCGAGATATAAAGCGTCAAAGATTTAGCATTCTGGCCCCTTGTGGCCCCTAATTATGTACCATACGACATGAAAATCATAATATATAGTTGTAGATGGCTGAGATAAACATCTTTGCTTCAGTAATGTATTACAAAATATTTAAAGATAAAGAGTTATCGATTGAAGACTTTTGGCCCCTCTTGGCCCCTAATTTGAGTGCCCAGCCCCTTTTTCTTGATTTTGACTTAAAGCTCTTATGATTTTGAACACTTTTTGTTCAACACCTATTCAGAGATTCTTTTTCGTTTTCGAGTTATTCGCAAAAGAAATATTTAGGGGCCAACCCTTCAACTCCTTAATGGGGACGTTTAGCAAAAAATGAAAGGTTGCATATTGTTCAGAATATGATTTTGAAGATCTTTTGTTCAATATTACTTATCAGAATATTTCTCACTTTCGAGATATAAAGCGTCAAAGATTTAGCATTCTGGCCCCTTGTGGCCCCTAATTATGTACCATACGACATGAAAATTATAATATATAATTGTAGATTGTTCAGATAAACATTTTTGCTACAGTAATGTATTATGAAATATATTCTACTAAAGAGTTATCGATTGAAGACTTTTGGCCCCTTTTTGACCTTAATGTGATGACTCAGCACATTTTTCAAGGTAACATCTTAAAGATCTTCTGATTTTGCACAAATATTGTTCAATATGTCTTAACAAATTAATCATATTTCAAAAGATATGATGCAAAATGTCTCAAAAAATCTTCCATAAAATGTATCCTTAATTTTGACCCCTACCGAGCTTCCATACTATATATTTCCGGAAACTATCCAAACTCCCAGTAACATGGGAACATGTCTTCTAACATCACTGAAAATTTCAGCGCTCTAACTCGAGCCGTTTTTGAGATAATGGACGGTCAAGAAGGTCCTCTGATTTAAAAAAAGGGCGATAACTCTAGACCGGAAGTGATTTTTAGAAAATTCTTCAGGCGGTATAAACTTCAGATCATCCAGCATCATCCCTGAAAATTTGAAGAAAATCCATCCAACCATCTCTGAGAAATCCTCTGCACAAAATTTGTGCAGAAAAAAAGAATAATAATAATAATAACTAGATGAGATCTCGTTGTGAACAACGAGTGGGTCTTCCGTTCGATTCTTGATGAGATGAGATAAGATTTTGATTAAGATTTTTTTACAATGATAATTTTCTTAAGAAAAACGATTGTGCTGCCGTTATGGTATTTTTTAAATATTGAAGGTTAAACTGTTATAAATTCAAATTCTGGCCCCTCTTGGCCCTTTATGTAAGGGACCAGCCCTTTTTTCTTCAAATCATCTAAAAGATCTCATGCTTTTTAACACTTTTTGTTCAAAAAGTGTCCAGAGATTGTTTTTCATTTTCGAGTTATTAGCAAAAGAAATATTTAGGGGCCAACCCTTCAACTCCCTAATGGGGAGGTTTAGCGAAAAATGAAAGGTTTCATATTGTTCAGAAAATGATTTTGAACATCTTTTGTTCAATATTACTTCTCAAAATATTTCTTACTTTCGAGATATGAAGTGTCAAAGATTTAGCATTCTGGCCCCTTGTGGTCCCTAATTATGTACCATACGACATAAAAATCATAATATATAGTTGTAAATTGTTGAGATAAACATCTTTGCTTCAGTAATGTATTACAAAATATTAAGTGCTAAAGAGTTATTGATTGAAGACATTTGGCCCCTCTTGGCCCTTAATTTGACTGCCCAGCCCCTTTTTCTTTATTTCGACTTAAAACTCTTAGAATTTTGAACACTTTTTGTTCAACAACTATTCAGAGATTCTTTTTCGTTTTCGAGTTATTCGCAAAAGAAATATTTAGGGGCCAACCCTTCAACTCCCTAATGGGGATGTTTAGCAAAACATGAAAGGTTGTATAATGTTTAGAACATGATTTTAAACATCTTTTGTTCAATATTGCTTCTCAAAATATTTCTCACTTACGAGATATAAAGCGTCAAATATTTAGCATTCTGGCCCCTTCTGGCCCCTAATCATGTACCATACGACATTAAAATCATAATATATAGTTGTAGATGGCTGAAATCAACATATTTGCTTCAGTAATGTATTACAAAATATTAAAAGAGAAAGAGTTATCGATTGAAGACTCTTGGCCCCTCTTGGCCCCTAATTTGAGTGCCCAGCCCCTTTTTCTGGATTTCATCTTAAAGCTCTTAGGATTTTGAGCACTTTTTGTTCAACAACTATTCAGAGATTCTTTTTCGTTTTCGAGTTATTCATAAAAGAATTATTTAGGGGCCAACCCTTCAACTCCCTAATGGGGTCGTTTAGCGAAAAATGAAAGGTTTCATATTGTTCAAAACATGATTTTGAACATCTTTTGTTCAATGTTGCTTCTCAAAATATTTCTTATTCTCGAGATATAAAGCGTCAAAGATTTAGCATTCTGGCCCCTTCTGGCCCCTAATTATGTACCATACGACATGAAAATCATAATATATAGCTGTAGATGGCTGAGATAAACATCTTTGCTTCAGTAATGTATTACAAAATATTAACAGCTAAAGAGTTATCGATTGAAGAATTTTGGCCCCTCTTGGCCCCTAATTTGAGTGCCAAAGCCCCTTTTTCTTGATTTCATCTTGAAGCTTTTAGGATTTTGAACACTTTTTGTTCAACAACTATTCAGAGATTCTTTTTCGTTTTCGAGTTATTTGCAAAAGAAATATTTAGGGGCCAACCCTTCAACTCCCTAATGGGGACGTTTAGCGAAAAATGAAAGGTTGCATATTGTTCAGAACATGATTTTGAACATCTTTTGTTCAATATTACTTGTCAAAATATTTCTCACTTTCGAGATCTAAAGCATCAACGATTTGGCATTCTGGCCCTTTGTAGCCCCTAATTATGTAATATACGACATAAAAATCATAATATACAGTTTTAGATTGTTGAGATAAACATTTTTGCTTCAGTAATGTATAGCAAAATATTGACTGTTAAAGAGTTATCGAAAAAAGACTTTTAGCCCTTTTTGGCCCCTAATTTGAGTGTCCAGCCCCTTTTTCTTGATATCATCTTAAAGCTCTTAGGATTTTGAGCACTTTTTACTCAACAACTATTCAGGGATTCTTTTTCGTTTTCGAGTTATTCGCAAAAGAAATATTTAGGGGCCAACCCTTCAACTCCCTAATGGGGACGATTAGCGAAAAATGAAAGGTTGCATATTGTTCACAACATTATTTTGAACATCTTTTGTTCAATATTACTTATCAAAATATTTCTCACTCTCTAGATATAAAGCGTCAAAGATTTGGCATTCTAGCCCCTTGTGGCCCCTAATTATGTACCATACGTCATAAAAATTATGATATATAGCTGTAGATTGTTGAGATAAACATTTTTGCTTCAGTATTATATTACAAAATATTAACTGATAAAGAGTTATCGATTAAAGACTTTTGGCCCCTTTCTGCTCCTAATGTGATGAGTCAGCATTTTTTTCTTGATATCATTTGAAAGATCTTGTTGTTCTGCACAAATGATGTTCAGTATGTTCTTACAAAATATTTATACTTTAAAAGATATGATGCAAAATGTCTCCAAAAATCACTCGTGATTCGTGTCCTAAATTTTGACCCCTACCGAGCTTCCATACTAGGTACTTCCGGAAACTATCCAAACTCCCAGTAACATGGAGACATGTCCTCTATCATCACTGAAAATTTCAGCGCTCTAGCTCAAGCCGTTTTCGAGAAAATGAACGGACAAGGAGGTCCTCTGAATTTTGATAAAAGGGCGATAACTCTAGACCGGAAGTGATTTTCACAAAATCCTTCAGCCGGTATAAACTTCAGATTATCCTGCAACATCCCTGAAAATTTGAAGCAAATCCATCCAACCATCTCTGAGAAATCTTCTGCACAAAATTTGTGCAGAAAAAAAGAATAATAATAATAATTATAATAATAATAATAATAAGAAAAGTGAAAAAGAAACATAAGAATAATAGAAGGGTCTTCCGCTGAAGACGGAAGACCCTAATAATAAGAAAAGTGAAAAAGAAACATAAGAATAATAGAAGGGTCTTCCGCTGAAGACGGAAGACCCTAATAATAATAGGGAAAAAGAAACCGAACGAAAACAATAAGGTCTTCCGTTGGAAACGGAAGACCTTAATAATAGGGAAAAAGAAACCGAACGAAAACAATAAGGTCTTCCGTTGGAAACGGAAGACCTTAATAATAATAATGTTATGGCTATATTAAATATATTGGTCATATCAGGCATTGCACGGGCACGCACGAGCAATAATGTGCTATAACACCTTTAATCTTTTTTGCACTCATAATATTTCTTCATAACCTCAAAGCATTTATCAAACCAAACAAAAGATACATCTTTATCAAATAGATGTTTATAGGTCATTATATGCACTGTACGTGTGCATGCATATAATGTATGTATGTTGCCAAAGTCATCTCTCATACATATATATTATTCAAAAGTAATTATAGATTTTTAACTAAGGATCAATTTATTGTAGGCAAGCTTTGTAGTCTTAGGACTTAAAGATGGAACAGATTTAAACACACCAGAAGTGATTTCTTTGAGTGTGGGTCTCCCTTTTTCAGTCTGTTGGAACATTTTTGCCTATATCATTGTAAGTATAATGACCCTTCAATCAATTATGTAGAATGCTTAAGGTTCATAAACCCTCTGCTCACTCATATGAAATTTTTCTTTAACTTTTATGATTTTCCAAAGGAAATGTATATGCTGAATAAAATACAAACAATTATAGCATGGCTTGCGGGGCAAAATTTGACAAAAAAGGCACTTAAACTTGACAAATTTATAAAGGAATAATATACATCTGTGTCATTAAGAGTTATCTCTCTTATCAGAGTATCAATGTACCTTAATCTTAAATTCAGAAAACGTAAAGTATAATTTAGGTTAACAAAATAATGAACTATAAGGACACATTCTTTTTTTTTTTTCAAAAATGTCGTTTTATGGTTACTAATATATATCATAATCGTGATACATGTTTGCTTTCTTCCCTGCATTTTGGTTAAAAGTAGCAAATGATCAAATAATGACTTGATGAGTTTGTTTTCACTCTTAATCTTTCTGAAGTTATGCATTTTTAACTTACACATTACACGTTATTTATATATTGTGCAAAAATGAAGATTTCTAGATTCGGAAATTTTGAAAGGATTACTAGATTCGGAAATTTTGAAAGGATTAATATTTTAAATTTAGATTTAGATTTTGTTGTGAATCGTAATCGTAAATATAATGCACTCAATGGATTGTAGTATGAAAATACCAGTAGTTTTATTTTAGAACAGACAATTTTCATGTCACGTGTGCTTTAACTTGTGTTATATATATCCGAGGACAAGGACAGTTTTATTTAATCATTTAAGTTTATTTAAAAATAAGCAAACATTATAAAGCGATATTTGAGAGTAGCAACAAGAACAATAATTTCAAAGTTGTAGATAAAGTCAAGAAGTCATGCTAAGATAGTACATGTGAGATCAATATCATATATAGCTTCTTCCATATAAGTGTTTTCATAATTTTGAAAATGCCTTAATTCAACAGCTGAGAAAAGAATGGAAAAAAGCAGCCCGCATTTTTGTTTTCATTGATCTGGTTAAGCCTTGCTTTTACGGTTACCAAATTTGGAAGGTGCGTATTTCTTTTATTTATATCAGTTTATGTTATATGAAACAAATTGAAATAACGAACAGTATTCAAGATAAAAAAAAATCCATGAAAATAGAAATAGGAGCAGATCAATCATAGACCTCCGAAACATCAGAGGTGGGATCAGGTGCCAAGGATGAGTGAGCAACCCCTGCCAACCGGTCACACCCGCCGTGTGCTCCTTGTCATGATCGGGAAATATGGAAAAATCCGTTGTCAATTCATTTATAAATAATGGATTAACAAGAAGAAGGTATGGTTTTAGCTTTATTGCCCCATAAAAATGTAATGACATCAAAAAGTTTTGAAACTTGCTTAAATATTAGTTAAATAATTGACTCTGATAAATCAAGAAAGAATATGGCATAAATGTTTACCATTCTGCAAATATGGCGTTATTAATGTGAAGCATTTCTCTATTTTCAATAGAAAACGCCTCAAAATGGCACATTTCCAGGGTGATTTTCCTTTTAGAAAACAGTGTCCACAGCCGTCGCCCACGCTAATTTTTTGATATTTTGTGCAAAATTCAATAAAAAATCACATCTCAAGATCTTTGTGGGCGATGCCTGTGGACAGTGTTATCTGAAAGAAAATTCCATTGAAAATTTGCGTCTTCTGCAACTTTGTAAGAAAAACGGGAAAATGCACATGTTTATGACGCCAAATTAAGCATTTAAAGATACATGTGAGAAAAATGACTTGTATTATTTTTCTGCATTGAATTTCAATTATTTAAAAAGCAATTAGTTTTCAACTTGTACACCAGTTTCATTTTTTAGAAAATCACATTGCAAAATTTGTATGGAAACCATACCTTCTTCTTAGTATGGGAAACTCCATGAAGCATTTGACTCAATGATACATTGTATTTGCTGACAACGTCATTGTATCGACTATACAAAATTACGAAATGTTGAATTTAAATGAGATTGCTGGTATTATTGTTTCATCAACTTGTTTGTCAATTATTTGCCTCGTTCTAGAAATTGTAAAGCATGCTTATGCGTATCGATCCAACTGAAATACCCCAGTATAAAAAACTACATATGCAAATGATGAAGGTGTATTGCTGCATAAATAAGGGAAGATAACGATTGAATAGTTAAACTTATCCCGTTTATCGTAGACCTTGGTTGTTAGATTACTATTAACGTCCATTTCAACTAATTATAAAATATCCAAGTATAAATCAAATGTGTCAGACTCTGTGGAATCTTTTTTCTTAAGCTTACCACGATATATCGTATGAAAATAAGAATGGAAATTACAATTGTTAGTTGACAAAACTTCGTCGCTATACATATATATAAATGTCAAGTTAAAGTCCACAGCAAGTGCATATGATAAAATACTTAATTCCTCCTCTCTATTGTTGTTTTCATACAGGAAGCAACAAGGATAAAGGATGCACAAACCAGTGACGATAGAGCAATCATAATTATAACAATGGTTGCAGGTGTGTGTTGTTTTTACGTTTAATTTTTAGTGAGATTGATCACTGTTCCCCATTTTTAGCTCTACTGGTCAGAGACCAGAAGAGCTTATGCGATAGTAATGCGTCCGTCGTCCATCCGTCTGTCTGCCCGTCTGTCTGTCTGTCCGTCTGTCTGTAAACAATCTTTCAAAATGCTACTCCTCCTACAGTTTTGGTCTGATTTCAATATAACTTGGCACACAAGTAGACTACACTAAGATACATAATTCTGTGTATCGGTTTTTTATTTCTATTAACGGTGTTGCCGTTGTTACTAAAAATAGAAATTTCTGTGAAATTCTTTCAAAATACTACTCCTTCTACAGTTTTGGTCTGATTTCAATATAACTTAGCGCACAAGAAGACCACACTAAGATACATAATTCTGTGTATCGATTTTTGATTTTGATGAACGGTGTTGCCGTTGTTGCTAAAAATAGAAATTTCTGTGAAATTCTTTCAAAATGCTACTTCTCCAACAGTTTTGGTCTGATTTCAATATAACTTGGCACACAAGTAGACTACACTAAGATACATAATTCTGTGTATCGGTTTTTGAATTCGATGAATGGTGTTGCCGTTGTTACTAAAAATAGATATTTCTATGAAATTCTTTAAAAATGCTACTCCTCCTACAGTTTTGGTCTGATTTCAATATAACTTGGCATACAAGTAGACTACACTAAGATACATATTTCTGTATATCAGTTTTGATTTCGATGAACGGTGTTGCCGTTGTTATCAAAAATAGAAATTTCTGTGAAATTGTTTCAAAATGCTACTCCTCCTACAGTTTTGGTCTGATTTCAATACAACTTGGCACACAAGTAGACTACGCTAAGATACATAATTCTATATATCGGTTTTTGATTTCGATAAACGGTGTTGCCATGGTAACTAAAAATAGAAATTTCTGTTAAAAACTCTCAAAATGCTACTCCTCCTGCAGTTTAAGTCTGATTATAATATAATGTGGCATGCAAGTAGACTATACTAAGAACATAAAGAGACTTAATCAAGGATCATTATTCTTTTTATTGCTGTGGTAAAGTTTCAATTCCCAACTGCTTAAGAACTTTTCCCTTCCATTGCTATAAGAACAAACCAGTAGAGCTTCAGTCTCGACAGAGACTTCTGGTTTGCATTTTAAGTTTAGGCAATGTACAATTATTTCAAATAAACTCAATTAAGTTAAAAGTTCTCACATATTGTCGAGTTAATAAAGTGATTACAAAAAACAAAAGACACTCTTTAAAATATTTCTAAAATTTTATAAAGGGTCAAATTTGGAGATAACAAACTGTATCAAGGTCAAAAAGTAAATTAAAAAATACATTGTACCAATCGGAAGAAGAGAAAACAAAGACCTTTCAAACATCAGAGATGGGATCAGGTGACATGGAAGAGGGAGCATCCCCGCCGTGTGCTCCTTGTCATGATTGGGAAATAACAGAAGAAAGTGTTTAGAAAAAGGTTTAACAACAAAATGAAAACATCTATTTGTTTTTGATATCCTTATAAGGAGATATATGCAAATCTGTAAATAAATCCTTGGATTTAATTTTTAAAAGTATATAGATAATAGATATGATGAAATAAGATATGTAACGTATGAAAATTTATTTTTGTTGCTTCCAAAAGCTTCTAGTTTTCATGATTACTGTATATCTAATGTAAGAATTTAATAAAGCCAGATAAGGAAAAGAATACAGAGTTATGCCAGATTACGGAACTTTGATATTTTAGGAGGAAAAAAAGCAATAAGGCTATTAAGATCAACAAACCTATTAAAATAAAAGAAAAAAAATCTATTCTAGGTGTACTAGGGATAGTTATTTGGATGTTGGTCATGAAGCAACTGAGAACAGTATACAAAAATTTTGATAAAGGATTTCGAGAAAAAGGTAGGTATGGTAAAGCATTTTTCATGTAATTTGCCATCTTTAATTTTTTTAAATTACCTAAATCCTTAGAAATGGAAAATAAGAGTGGCCCAGGGGCCACATCGCTCATCGAGCAAATCTGCTAGGAATAAGAACACATTAGACCTGAATTGAAAAGTTTACTGAGGGTGGAGTGGGGTGGGGGGTCTTGAATTTTAATGCTACTTGAGAAAACCTCTATATCAATATAGCACATAATTTTGATGTTCTTGAGAAAAGATTATTAAAGATTTTTTTTACAGTTTGTTTGTATATACACATGTATTACTTCTTAATAATTTGAATTTGATTCCCCATTTTCCCTTCCTAGATACCAAGAGGTCATGATTTAAACAAATTTAAATCTTCAATGCATGAGGATGTTTGTATGTCAATATGACTAAACATAGATTTTCTGTTCTTTCTATTTTTCCCTTTATTTTAATATGTAAAACATTGATATACCATTGAGACCTTATACTCTTTGAGTTTTATCTTTCCTGTCTCAATGGTTCTTGAGAAGATTTTTAAAGAATTTTCCTATATATCCCTATGTCAAACTTAGTCCTATTCCACGGGGTCATGATTTGAAACAGCTTGTATCTACACTACCTGACGATGATTCCACATGAGTTTCATCTTTCATGGCCCTTCATTTAAACAAACTTGGATCCTCTTTACCTAAGGATACTTTGTAGCCAGTTTGGTTGAATTTGACCCAGTGGTTCTTGAGAACAAGATGGAGATGTGAAAATTTTAATGTACAACGACAACAGCAACAACACTAACGACGAGACAACGACGACAGACAAAGGACAAAGTTTGATTAGAAAAGCTCACTAGAGCATTCGGCTCAGGTGGAATAAAAATGAGGATAACAAACAGTGAAGGAATTCATGTCTAATGTATTGATTAGGTAATTCTTTCGTCAGATTCAGTATGTAAAAACGAACGATTTCAAATACCACAATTGAAATATAATTTTATCTAAATAAATTGACTTTACATGCTAAATTCCGAATTGCATTATAAATATGGTATAATGATTGCTTAGCAATTGTTGGAATGCTCTTTGAAAGTTTAAAATAAGGAATAAAATTGATTTTAAAATCAAAGTCGATCAATATGTTTTCTTGATACTGATGTTCGATGTCTTTTTTATATCATTGGGCCATATAATTGATTAATTTTAATTACAGACCCATTGGTTAAAATACACATTCTTTTTAGTCTATGAGAAGACATCCAGCGAAAACACTAGTCTTATCACAGGTAGAAGGAAAGGCCAGGGCGGATCCCTGTAGTCCATGATCTAAATGCCTCCAGGAATAAAATTGAATTTTTGAGGAGAGTTTCTCACTACTTATGGAAGTAAAAAGTTAATTTTTTATAATATAAAAACGTCTAAGTTGTTTTATTTATTATGACTGTGGGCAGATTTAAATATATTAATAAAGTTTTACATTTTAAGTACATGATTCTTGATAGTTTAACGATGTCATTGATAACAAAAGTTAAGCAGGTTTGCTTGCGCAGGTGGGTTGTCTTGGTGAACAAATTTTCTGGCTTAATTATTGGCTAAGACTTTTCATTGGCTATAATCATAATGAACTATCAAATCAGATCATTTCTTTTGTAGTAAAAGCAAGCCAAATCTAAAATCATATTATTGCTGATCCGGCGATTCCTGATTTTAGACTACCACCTCGTACAATTATATGTTAATAATTTTAGTTTTTCTAAGTAAATAAGGGTCTAAGAATATAAGTAGTAGAGTTTAATATGTATTATCCCTCATATGTATGGATAGAATATGGATCAGAAAAATAATATGTATATTGTATTATGCACATATATGTACTGATATACTATTATAAAATCAGCTTTTTGATATCTGAATAAATATAGAAACTACCATTTTCATCTTTAGTTAATATCTCTCGGACATATAACTAATAGGATAATTTGTTTTTTTTGCAGAGCAAATCTAGAGGATTTTTTTAGTCATTTACATGTACATGTAAGGAAAAAAACCCAGATATCTATAAATGTTAATATAATATAATACTGTTCTTTATCTCCATATGTTTCATACTTATCTGTCTTTTTTCAGTAACACAATCTTGGGTATTTCATATATTATACGGTCTACGTTAATATGAAAAAAAAATTTCTTATTTCCCATTGTTTTAACAAAGTAAATAAAATGAAAATAAAGCATGTCAACATGTGTCCAACAAGTGTACTCCTATCTTAAGTATGTTGTAGTTATTGTTGAGATTGTTGCTACTTTAATGTTTAAACATAATTAAATTTTAGAAATGGGAGTCGGGATTTAACTTTCTTTCATCTTTACGTTATAATTTTGTTCAAACTCTCTAATTATTCTTAATACTATATTGTGTATAAACCAGAAGTCTCTGTCAAGACTGTAGCTCTACTGGTTTGTACTTATAATAAAGAAAAGGAAAAGTAGCAGTAAAGACTTAAAACTTTACAAAAGCAATAAATAGAATAATGATCCTTGATTAAGTCTCTTTTTGAGGTAAGATTGTCATAAGACTACAACTGTAGGAGTAGCTTTTAATAAAATTTTACAGAATTTTCAATTTAAATTACTATGGCAACATAAGTCATCAAAATCAAAAACACAATACTGATAATTATGTATCTCAGTGTAGTCTGCTTGTGTGCCAAGTTATATTAAAATCAGACCAAAACTGAAGAAGTAGTAATTTGAATGTATTTTAAAAACTTTTCTATTTTTAGTAACCAGCAACACCGTTCATCGAAATCAAAAACCGATACACAAAATTATGTATCTTAGTGTAGTCTACTTATGTGCCATGTTATATTGAAATCAGACTTAAAATGTGGGAGAAGTTAATTTTGAATGATTTCACGGAAAATTCTATTTTAAGTTACCACGGCAATACCATTCATTGAAATCAAAATTAAACCGATAAACAGAATTATGTATCTAAGTGTAGTCTACTTGTGTGCCAAGTTATATTGAAATCAGACTTAAACTGTACGAGAAGTAGCATTTTGAATATTTTTCAAAGAATTTCTATTTTTAGTAACCACGGCAACACCGTACATCGAAATCAAAAATCGATACAAAGAATTATGTATCTTAGTGTAGTCTACTTGTGTGCCAAGTTATATTAAAATCAGACTTAAACTGTACGAGAAGTAGCATTTTGAATGATTTTCACAAATTTTTCTATTTTTAGTAACAAGGGCAACACCGTTCACCGAAATCAAAAACCGATATACAGAATTATGTATTTTAGTGAAGTCTACTTGTGTGCCAAGTTATATTGAAATCAGACTTAAACTGTAGGAGAAGTAGCATTTTGAATGATTTTCACAAAAATTTCTATTTTTAGTAACCACGGCAACACCGTTTGTCGAAATCAAAAACCGATACACAGAATTATGTATCTTAGTGTAGTCTACTTGTGTGCCAAGTTATATTGAAATCAAACCAAAACTGTAGGAGGAGTAGCGTTTTGAAAAATTGTTTACAGACGGACAGACAGACAGACAGACGGACGGACGACGGACGCATTACTATCGCATAAGCTCTTCTGGTCTCTGACCAGTAGAGCTAAAAACTACACAGCTATTTCTGGACTGGATATTTTTCACAATCACACCCTGTATAATATTTAAGATGTTGTTCTTAATTTAAGTTTACAACATATTTCTGCTGCAAGTTTTACGCCATTTTGAGAACAGCTGAAATTTTGACATCACTAATTATATCATCAGTTACTTCAATGTACATTAAAAATTTTCCAGACACTTTGCAATATCATGATTTTAATTCTATAACTTACCGACAGTGTTTTCGTATTTTTGATATGCTCGATATTCAGATTATGCCCTTCTAGATGTGTGACATATATTGTGAAACACCCTGTGCCCTTGTTATATGTCCTTAATCGTTTAAAACTTAAAAAGACAAGACTAAACGTGCGATGCTTTCAGTGAAACAAGAAGGATGACTGAACCGGGAATTGTTCCTGGGACCCCTGCATAACTAGTCGGATGCTCTACCACCTCCAGGTCAATGTACACGACCAAAACCGTTACATCCCCCTCCTTAATTAAATGGTCTTCGTCCTCAAAGACGCAACAAGGCTAAAAATTCTTATAATCCCCTGTCAGTTTTTTAACCTTTAATTCCAAGGATGGTCAACGACAAAAATCTGTAAGAAGCAGAGAGAAGATGTGTGGCTGCCCGTGAATCGAAATCGGAACCCTTACATCACTAGACAGGTTACTAACGACTGCCGATATCCTCGGCCCAAACCAATACATTCCTCCCTCATTAAATATTCTTCGCCCTTATAATGCACAATCGAAGTTAGCCTAAACCATTACATAGATAAACAGTAAACAATGTAAAGGATTTGATATGAATTATAAACGAAGAATGAATGTTTATAAATACAGACAATAGAGAACAACATTCAAATCTACACTGATCAGGAAATGTTCAATGTCATTGCGAAAGTAGTTAGTTCCACCAATGACATAATTTATACTTGTATTTTGAGGAAATGCGAGTCGAAATCTACAACCCTGTTTAAATAAATAATAATTCAATTACAATCTGCTGAAATTTTTGCGATTCTGTTTGTTTAACCTTGAAATAAAATATTGAGATCAGAAAAAATGAAAAAAAAAATCACTAAAATATATTTATCGTTTCATAACATCTATGAGGATATTGAGAAACTACATAAAAGTGGTGCTATAATGAAATCTAAAATACATATGTATTAAGATATGGATACAATTAACCTTCTTTTATATGTTAATTAAAACTGTATATTAATATACTTTTCCCTTCCGCTCGAAAAAAGGAATATATCTTTATACAGACAACATAAGAAAAGACCCATATACAGACCAGCCAGAGAACGGGCTGGATACTCAGAGTCCCCATTTACACTGACACGATCTACAGTTGTTGTTGTCTTTTGCCATTTTGTAACCTCGCCAAAAGAGAGGGCATCGAAACACCGGGCAGTCTGAAATGAAGAAATTTTAATGTTTGAAACTTTTTAGATTAGTGTTTTAAAAATAAAAGTGAATATTCATAACAAGGTCCTTTATATTGAAATTCCGTTAATTTCATGAACGTTCCACGTCGTTTTTATCAAACTATTATAGAAAATTAAAAATCTGGAAAGAAAAATAACTCCATGTGGTTAAATAACACATGAATAACAAACCATATTCAACACCAAAACAGTCCATAATTGTATATTATGCACCGAAGCGTTAAGCGGTAATGTGGAGCACCAAATTACCAAGCAACACTATGTTTAGCGGGATATGACTCTTGTATACAAAGAAAAGAGATGTTAAACGATGAAAAACACAAACGCAAAGATGGGAAACAGGTTTATATATAGTAAAAAGGTTTGAGGTTGACCTATATGGTTAACTTATAGAAGAGAATAGACCACTTAAATAAAGACGAACTGAAAAGATCAGAGCGGAACGTCATATGCCTACGTGAAGACCGTTGTTAAATAATTCGATGAAGTATAGGTTTATGATCGGGGTTGTGAAATTGTTTATTTAAAGAATTAACTCCCCAAACTTTTAATAACATTAGTATTTGAGATGCATACTTGGTAACTAAAGCAAAATTATCTACATTGCTGATTGTGTGCTTAAATGAATATTTTTAGAGGCGCAGTTTCCAGAACCAATTCGTAAACACTACGAGATACGCTTGACGTCGTCAGGGTTGCGCCGACAGCTACTTTGACAGATTTGTTAACATGAGAGGAAAATTTTATTCATAGAGATATTTCACTGAAATATTTAGGGATCATTTACAAAATGATGATCCTGATAAATTATATGCTTATTTTTAACTTCATAGTCCCAGTGAAACAAAAGAAATTTAGAATGTTCGCGTTTTTCTGGGACAACCCTCGTATAAGTATTATCCTTATATTTAAAAGGAAACTTAAAGAGCCATTTCTGCTATATTTAATGCAGTAGAATATATTGAAAATGTATCCACTTTGATCATATATGAAATAAATAAAGAGTCAATAAAAATCAGGACCAGAGCAAACGAGTACATAGAAAAACTTCATATTTTATATTCATA